AATTTGAAGTTGGCTGGTCGGAATAAAAATCTGCAGCAAAACAAATACTTTTCTTCTCTCTTCTCTCTTGATGAAAGCTCTCTCAAAAACCACTCTTATGTGCTTAAATCTTTCAAAGACTTGTATCAATGAGCATAGAATAATTCTCCAAGGTTGTCCTATTTATAGATCATGAGTGGTGCTTTCTCCTAAAGCCAAAACACACTCAAAATAGGAATAAACACCGAATCCAATTCCGAATAGGAATGGATACCAAAAGAGAATAGGATTAGGCAATTGGGCCTTTGGCTGGAAAATATAGGCATGTGCCCAACACTATATTCCCTCACATGTTAGTCACTTGAGGGAAGGAAACTTCTAGTGTCAAAATTATCAGATGGTGTATAATTGATCTATCATAAACTCATCCAAGGGCTGCGACTCTTCCATGTGCCCCGAACATTGAGCTGAGTATAACATGAGTTATATCATACTCAACATTTTGGCCGGAACAAACACGACTTCTAGGTCGTCTTCTTCTTCACCCTTCTTCTCTATCTCTAAGCAAATCTCCATGAATCTTGGAATTAGGATGGGGTTTCTTCTTCCCAATATCCCCCTCAATTTGGAGGGTAATTTTGCAACCCCTAACTTGCTCAAAATCTCGGTGTGAGAAACCCCGAAAAGTGGCTTTGTGAAAAGATCCGCTAGTTGGTCTTTAGAAGGAACAAAAAATATGGTAATTAAGCCGAAAAGGAATTATTGACGCACAAAATGATAGTCAATCTCGACATGTTTTGTACGTTCGTGGAAGACGGGGTTACAGGTGATGTGAATGGCTGCCTTCCTGTCAGAGTGAAGAGGTATGGGGAGACTTACTGGTGCAAAGAGATCATCAAGGAGTCGAACTAACCATGTAAGTTCTGCAGTTATTCTTCTCATAGATCTGTATTCTGCCTCTACAAAAATAGAGAGATTAACACTTGTTTTTTTGATTTCCAGGAAGTGGGTGCTCCTCCTAGTGTGATGAAGAATCCATTGACGGACCTCCTAGAATCATTGCAAGAAGCCCAATCAACATCGCAAAATGCAAGCAAGGAGAATGATTGTTCTGCTGAGAGAAAGATTCCTTGTCCTGGATCAGAGCTCAAATATTTGAGCACTCGTAAGGCAGCAGAGAAATGAGTCCTTTTCTCGCTGAAATTTCCATCCCTAAAAAATAATGTATGTCTCCTAGATTCTTGACTTTAAACTTAGTATTTAGAAAACCCTTGATATGTTGAATTTCTTCCAAGTCATCTCCAGTAAGTAGTATGTCATCTACATAGACAACTAGGATAGAAATCATGTTCCTTGTGCGTTTAAAGAACAGTGAGTAACCGTTTAATGATGAAAAATACCCCTTAAAACTCAAAGCCCCTGCAAGCCTAGCATATCATTGCCTGGAAGATTGCTTTAAACCATACAATAACTTCCTTAGTAAACAAACATGTTTAGGACTAGAAGGTGTTAAACCTGCTGGAAACCTCATGTACACCTCCTCTTGTAGATCATCATGCAGAAATGCATTGTTGACATCCAATTTAGACACATTGCAGGCTCTTTTGGCTGCAATAGTGCGTAAACACCTTATGGTTATCATTTTCACCACTGGTAAAAAAGTCTCACTATAATCTATTCCTTCTCTTTGGATCTCCCCCCTGACCACTAGCCTTTCCTTCAACCTTTCAATCCTTCCATCTGATAAATGCTTTACCTTGTAAACTCATTTACAAGGTAGAGCTCTTTTCCTTTTAGGTAATTCAACCACATCCCAGGTGTGGTTATCTTCTAGAGCTTTAATCTCTGAATTCATAGCTTCTATCCAAGCTGGATGTTGACAAGCCTGTCCAAAATTGTTAGGTTCTGTGAGAGTAGAGATGGATTGCAGCACATGCTGATTGTTGGTTGATAAAGAAGAGAAACAATATTCCCTAGGATTGCTTGGTTGAGTAAAGTAAGTTGTTGTTATATCTGTGAACATGATATTACTGCATACATAACCTTTCAAGTAGGTTGGTTGATTGGAAACTCTTTTTGACTTTCTCAGTGGTGTAGGCTGCTTAGGTATAGAAACAAATGAGCTAGTATGTGGTGTATCTAGGATATAGGTTGAAAAGGAACTAGGCTAGGAGACAATTGGTGATGAGGAGTGTATGAAGATCTTGGTGATGGTGATGAAAAAATATCAGAAACTTCAGGTTCTAAAGAGATAAGTGAGGATTGATCATGTGATGAAGGTGAATAGGTAGGTTCTGTAATAAATGTTGGGCTTGGGAGTATAGGGCGGTGTGATGTGTTGGTTTCAACAGAAGGGAAGTGTGATTCATGAAATTTCACATCCCTTGACACAAATACTCTTCGTGTGGACAATTCCAATAGCTTATATCCCTTCTGATGAAGGGGATAACCAAGGAAAACACAAGTTGTTGCTCTTTCATCAAACTTTACTCTTCCCTGGGCTATTGTAGAGGCATAACAGAGGCATCCAAAATTCCTTAAATGAGCATACTGGAGTTTTTGCTGAAATAGAACCTCATATGGTGTCTTTCCTTTAAGAACACTAGAAAGCGTTCTATTAATAAGATGTGTGGCAGTTAGAATATATAGGTAGCTTGGATTGGAACATCAACCCTATTGCAATCTCTAAGAGGTGTCTATGCTTCCTCTCAACAATCCCATTCTGTTGAGGAGTTGCTACACAAGACAGTTGGTGCAGAATTCATTCTGAAGCTCGGAAAGCTGCCTCTTGTGTACCTTTTCCCAATTCTAATGCATTGTCAGATCTTATCATTCTGACTTTCACATTGAATTGCCTTTCAACTATAGACAGAAAAGATTTAAGCATAGGAAAAGCATTTCTTTTGGCACTTAATAAAAATATCCATGTTCCTCTGCTATAGTCATCTACTATGGTAAGAAAATATCTGAATCCATTGTAAGTATTTGACTTATAAGGTCCCCATATGTCTACATGTATAAGTTTAAAAATATGCTTGGATTTTATGCTACTGACAGGAAAAGGATTTTTCGTTTGCTTAGCCTTAGGACAAACGTCATAGATAAACTCAAAATTTGACTTACAATGAAGGAAATCTAAATGTTTCATTACTGAAAATGGGAGATGTCCCAATCTTACATGCCAAAGTTCAATATCAGAAGTAGCATTAACTTGAACTGGACGAGAAAAAGAAACAGACTCTGGAATGGAATTTCTTCCTTTTGGAATTGAAAGTACATTACTACTGAATAGACCCTTAGACTTAAGGCTACTTGGTTCCGATAAGTAGAGTCCATCTCTAACTTCACCAGAAGCTTGTGGACTCGTCATTGAAAGGCCCTGCAACACACACCCAATAGATGTAAATAGGACATTTTATTTAAACCGAACACAAAACCTATAAACTGACAATAAGTTATATTTGAATTCTGGAACATGTAACACATTGTTCAAGATATGACCTGGCAGAACAGAAATACTCATATATGAGTAACAATCACCTTGAAAGAGTTAGGTAAACTGATATTGAAAGGTACATAAAGTGGAGTTAGAAACAGGAAAGAATTAGGATCAAAACACATATGCTCTGAAGCACCTGAATCAATGATCCAGGTGTCTGATTTTAGACTAGTAAATATTGAACTTGAGTATTTTAGAATAGTACCAGCAACTGCATTAACATTGATTCTTGTATTTCCTGATTGTGCTAACTTTGCCTTCTTATACATGTGCATTATTCTGCATCTGTCCAAAATTACTGTTGTTGTGTTCAGTGCTTTGTCCTGCTGAATTCTCATGTTCTTCATGTGTTAGGACTACATTTTCCTTAATTTGATTCTGATAACCTTTGTGATTGGTGAATTCAAAATCTTCCGAAAATTCAATAATAATGTAGCGGCCCTATTGTGTGTATGTCTTATTTTTCCACAATAAATACAAGACACATTTGGATTGTACTTCTTTTTCCCTTTAAACCTTTGCTAAGGTTTACCAAACTTTTGTCCTGAGTTGTTATATTTGGGTTCTATGGCTGCCCCTCTTTGTGTTTGGTTTCTGAGTTTCTGATAATTCTTCCCCTGTCCTATGATCATAAAAGCTGCAAAATCAGCTAGAAGTTGTGCATTAGGTTGCTTGGCCTCTCCAGCTGCGATGAATGATACTGATTCAGAATTAAAACGTGCATTTGAATAAACTTCTCTTTGATTTTCATCTTGCAAGAGAAGTGAATAAGCAACATCCATGCTGGGTGAAGGGCTCATCATGAGGATATTTCCTCTTGCTTGTACATAGATGTCATCTAATCCCATTAGAAATTGGATCACTCTCTGATCCTCAAGGGACTTAGTCAACTTTGCCTTTCCTTCACAAACACAAACACAAACACATGAACAACATATGATAACATTTAAAGCATCTAATTCATCCCACAGTCGTTTGAGCTTAGTGAAGTATCCTGCAATGTCACTGTTTCCCTGTACTAATCCTGATAACTCCTTCTGGAGATGATAAAGCTTGGCTCCATTTGATCTCCCAAATCTCAGCTCCAGGCTGTCCCAAAGCTCTTTTGCAGTTTTGGAGTATATCACAGTGTCTGCAATATCCTTTGAGAGAGCATTTAGGATCCAAGAGATGACCATGGCATTCACACAACTCCATTGTTTATGTTTTGGAGATTTCAGATCTGGAGATTGACAGGCTCCATTGATGAAACCAAACTTCTTCTTGGCTGACAAAGACAGGAGAATAAATCTCCTTCACCCTAGGTATCCTCTTCCATCAAACACAATGTTGACTAGAGTCATTCTAGGTGAATCAGAGTTGTTGAGATGATAAGGGTGATTGACATCATAGCTGACTGGTTTGCAACATTGCTCGTATCACTAGTAGATGTGATGGTTGTTTCAGGCATTTTAGGTTACTGATTATGGTGATGAATCTGATGTAGATGAATTTGATGGTTGTACTGTTGGATCGAGTTTATTGATCTGATACTATGTATGAAATTGAAGAAGAAATCTAATTGAAAATTTTCTCTGTTGTGTATTATTCATTGCTTTGTACATGTATATATATACACTTACATCATAAAATAAAGATTAGCCAAGAAAGAGACTATGTACAGTTGTCCTACTCTGATTTGTCTAGTAATAATATGGGTTATATCGAACTCAACATTTTGGTAAGGACAGACACGACTTCTAGGTCGTCTTCCTCTTCACCCTTCTTCTCTATCTTTAAGCAAATCTCCATGAATCTTAGAATTAGGATGGGGTTTCTTCTTCCCAATACAAGAACAATAATAATAACAACAAAAAACTCGATAAAAGTCGAATACAATTTTTAAATTATTTTTACCATTGTGCTACAAAATTTCAGGGAATATATATATATATA